GCTGAGCTATGCTGCTGCTGTCTCTGCTTCTCTCGCCGGTCGCCGTCGTCGGGCGGCCGCTGGCGTGCAGTGCGGTCTCGGCTCTGCTCATGGACCTTTTTCTGTGCCTTTAGGCGCTCTGCCATCAGCTTCCTGCGGGCGTCTCGCTCCTGCTCCCATCGGGCGTGATCGGCACTGAAGGCGGCCGCGTTCGCGTACGGCCTGCCCGGCCCGATTTCCTCCTGCCGTGGCTCGGCCCGAAGCTTGTCCGGCAGGGGAGGCACGTGGATGGTCGAGGGGCCGGCACCGGCCGACATGCATGGAGGGCGAACGCGCGACCAAATTTTCGGGCGGACAAACCGCGCGGGCTGCTACTTTCAATGATAGGGACTGGGGGAACAGCGAATCTTTCTTTCCTCTTACACGGGCCGAAAAGAACAACGATTGTGCCATAGGGTTTGGAACTGGTGAGGTGGTGTTGGAAAAAGAAAGCCAGGGGAAAAGCCCAGCTGGTCAGAGCGCCCTCCCGGCCGGGCCCTTGATTTTCGCCCAAAAAGAAATATCCGGGGAAATCAAGGCGGCGCCGCAGTGCTTCCGGCTGGCTGCGGCCCCACCCCGCACCCATCAGGCGGCAAAGACGCTCACCTCCGCGTCCTCGTACTCCCCCGTCGTCGCGACGTCGAGGAAGGCCTCGCAGACCGACTGTGCAACACGCCGAGTGGGTGTGAGCAGAGAGGAGGTGGGATCGGTGTGGCCCACGCCGCCTCCCTCGCCTGCATCTCCACAAAGAAGGACAGCTTGGCGGCCGTGTCGCTCACCGGCACCAGCTTGTACGTCTTGACCGGGTCTGTGTAATCCTTGACAAAGCTGCTCGTCTTGAGCACCGTCGCTCGCAGAATCGTCACGCTCAGACCCATCGCCTTGCGGTTCGCGAGGATGTAGTCCTCGGCCGCCTGCATGTCTTCGAAGCAGGCCTTGAGCGCAACCTGCGGTCGGGCGAGGGCGGTGTGAGCGACGGCAGGCTCCGCTCTGCCTGCGGCCGCAGCGGCGCGCCTTCGGCACAAGCCACGCCACAAAGCAGCCCCACGCTCGCCGGCCCTGCTCGGCGCTGTCGCCCAGTACGATGGAGGACATGCTGAGGAATCGCGGCGGCGTCTTGCCAGCCTTTCTGAGGGACAGCAGCGCGCCCATCACAGCCTCCACGCCGGGCGAAACCACCCACTCTGGCGGGTTTGTCATGCCCAGAAAGCTCATCACCACATCGGCGCCATCCATGAGCGTCTCCAATTTGTCCGCGTCCGTCACAGAGCCTTCCACGACCGTGATCTTCTCCAAGTCCTCGCTCTGACCTCCGAGGTCCGCGAGGAGCGGAGCCAGCTTGTCTGGAGACCTAGCCAGCACCCGCACCTCGAGCTCGCGCTCGATGGCGCCCTTGAGGGCCCATCGACCGGTCTTGCCGGTGGCGCCAACGATGGCCACGACTGGCATGAGCGACACAGCGGCGCAAATCCAGTATGAGCCCGACCCAGGTCGTAGTGTTCTTGCTCCCAGCGTCTTGCTCCCAGCGCTTGCGCTTCGGCGGTGAGTGGGTGCACTAAGGATCCCCCACCCACCCACCATCCGGGACCTACGATGCGTTCACCCACCCACCCCCACCCAACCACCCTCCCACCCACGATCTGGGGCCTACGAAGCGTTTACCCAGCCACTCACTTTTCAAGACTATATGAATGTCCTGTCTGGTTTCAAAAAACGCAACTATCTAGATACATGTAGGGACCCCCGTCCCGGCGGTCCCGCACGCAGCTCGCGCGCATCTATCTATCTCAACAAACAAAGAGTTGTTTGGTATTGCTAAAAATCTCTCTCTCTATCTCCCTCTTAACCCACCTCTAACATCACAATAGGGGATCCCTACAATTGTAACCTCCGAGAAACCCATCGGGTCGCTCCTCATCGCAAACCCTGTCAGCACTCCTCCTCCGGGAATGTACGTAAGAGCTACATACACTGAGAGAGAGAAGAGAGAGGTGAAGGGGGTGAACCGTGCCATCCTCGATCGCCGTGCAAAGCTCGCTTCCGAGCTCTCACGCCGCGCGTAGGGCCCTTAGGAGCCTAGAGAACACAACCCCCTCTCTCTTTTCTCCCAGTAGCTAAAAAGAAAGAAAGAAAGAAAACACACAACCCAAGGGAGGGATGGGAGAACGGCACGCCGCCACCACACAGGGATTTTAAGGAGAGGAGGGTGTGATGCGCTAGCCGTCGCCCACCCTGGGGGGTCTGCCTCCTCGTATCTCTTTTCGCAGTCTCTCGCCGCTTCTCGCTGCAACCTTCATGCCACCTCGCGGCTGTCCCACTCTCGTCGTTCTCTCCCTTGTCACTTCCCCCTCTGTCGCGTCGTTCTCTTCTGCCTCGTCCTGCGACGCCGCCGCCTGCCGGTCCCTTGTTCTCGCGGCTTCTTTCGCCTCTCGGCGCAACTCCGTCCTCCTTGCGGCGTATCCTGGCCCCTCGAGTCTATCGAGCTCCCCTCGCGCAAGGACCACATTTCTGACTCCCACTCCGATCATTTGCCTCCAAGTCATGTTGTTGCTCAGGTCCACTCTCTCTTCGAACACTCGTGCCTCTACGGATGATGCCGGCGCTGGGGTCCCCTTCGGATGCATCGTGACATCTGACAACTGAATTTCCACTGGTTCGTCCTCCTCTGAGTCATCTTCCCCGTCCTCCTTCCGCTCGGCTCTTCGCTCGGTACGTTCGGTGTGGCTCACCCTCCATGCCGTGAACAGGCGCTTTATCCACCCTATATTCTTCTCTCGTTCCTCTGCCCGTGCCTTGGTCTTGTCGTTGTTTCGCACCCATGTCTGTATGGCAATCGAGGCTGCCTTCCCCACTACCTGTAGTTCACTCGTCACCTCTCCCGCGAGCTCCCTTCTCTTTCTTTCGGGTATGGAGTCCGTGAGTGCGGGTAGCGTGCAGGCAATCACGGGTGCTATTTTGTCGTACTCCTCTTCGGCGAGCGCCCCAAATCTAGACCCTTTCGCCTTTAAGGAGGCTGCCCTCGCTCGTCTCAGGAATGTGGCGGTGTCTTTTGAGTCCGGCGCCTCCCGTTCAACTCTTGCTGTCGCCCTCGCTGTGTGTTTGTCGAGCTTCCGCATGAAGTGACGCGCCTCTTCCTTATTTCCAGCGCAGCTGCCGCTCAGTATATGCGCCAACGACGCCTGTGGTGGCTCACTGTCTTCTTGTTTCCAGTCGTCCCAGTCTTTCAGTTCCCCGCGTCTCCTCCTTGCCTCGCGCGCCTCTTTTGCGACCTCATCCCTAGCCGCTTTGCACGCTCTGCATCCCCAGAACGCACTTCTCGTGGCGGGGCCCCTCATTCCCCGTTTCTTTTCCCCCTCTAGAATACGCCTGTGGTGTGCCCCATGTGGCACCCCGACCTGTTGTCTCACCCTGGCCCCCAAGATCGTTTTGGTCGTCACATTGTGATCCCCGACGTCGTCAAATGTCGCCCGCCTGTCCTTCCCCCCGTTCTCGTCTGGTAATCTCATCTTATTATCCCATCGATGCTTGAGGCTGGCTACTGCCACTTCGCTCCACAACCGTCCCGCCACCCCTGCCGTGTGCGACCCCGGCCTCACTGTCTTTCGATATTGCTCGCACACCCACTCGTGCGCGCTCTTACACATGTGTCCGTACGTCCGTCGGTCCACTATCTCCCTCTTCTCTGCGTTCTCTGCCGCCTCCCTTCGCACCGTGTACATGCATGGCCGCGTCCGCACCGCGTCCCGCACCACTTTCGAGGCGTCCTCCGTGTCGTTATCCCCGAGGTGTGCTGTCGCCACCGCGTCGGCGTAAGCGTTGCAGGCTATTCCCACGTGTGCTGGCACCCACATGAAGACCACCGCCTCTAGCTTCGATCTATAGTAAGCGATCGCCTCCAGCAGTCCGCCTCTCTCCCAGTCCCTCAGGCCTTCTGGCATCCCTTTGCGGTGCGCATTCTCAATCTGCTGCAGCGCGGGTTTGCAGTCGCATAGCACTAAGCACCGCCGCGCTTGCGCGTCGCTCGCGCTCGCCATTTTGCGTAAGTATGCGAGTATCGCGTACATCTCCGCGTCTATCGGCTCCCACATGTTCGGCAGCTTTCCTCCCCACATTCCCGCCCCAAACGCTATCCGTATCTCCCCTTCTTCACAGGGTCCGATTCCGTTGGGATCCTTTACCTGTGCGTCTCCCGGGACGCTCTTTCCGAATCGTGTCGGTCCTTCGAACACGCCGTACGCCACCCTAGGGTTCGGCACGTACTTTCCATCCTCCGCCCTTTTGTCTTCATGGTCCTTTCCTCCGTCCGTCGCCGCAAAGTGTGTGAACTGGTGTGAGACGTGCAGCGCGAGGCATGTCTGCGCTACTTTCACGTTCAAGGCTCGTCCCTTCCCCGACCGCAGCGGCTCGCTGTCTTTTCCCATCTTAATTCGCTTCCCGTTGCCGTCCGTCAGCTCTCCCCCCGTCTCAAATTCGTCGTATCGGAGCAGGAAGCGCGTTAGTGGGTCCTCCTGTAGCTCCCCTACTCTGATCGCGCTCGCCCCGTGTCCGTGCCCCACGAACAGCTCGTAGTCTTCTTTCTTCCAGTTTATGTGTCTCTGGGGCGCCCCCTCTGGGAACAACGTCTCATCCGCCCCGAGGCTCCCCTCCTGTCGCTCCCTCTCCTGTCTCTCCATCATCTTTCTCACCGCGTCCTTCGTGATCTTATTTTGCTCGGGTATCAGTAGCTAAAAGTACACTGAACGCGGCAGCACCGTTTCTTCCGCTTTTCGACGTCCACGGCGGCGAGACTAAGAGCCTTCGGCGAACCGACCGGCGGCGACAGAGTCCTCTATTCGGACCGGCTAAGCTCGCAGTCGCCGTAATCACCGCACACCACGCTCGGTGGCGCATATATGCGCCTCCCGCTGAGCCGCCTCGGCGCCGTCCAGCGGGCGACAATCGTGAGCATGGCCGCCTCGGCGCTGCCAGTGCAGCGTCTACCTTACCGAGGCGTGCTCCTCGACTGGACGCAGGCCGGTGCGCCGCCTCCCTCCGAGTTTGAGGCGCGCATTGCGCCGAGCCTCGAGCGGTGGACGGCGGAGGGCGTCAAGTCGTGCATGTTCAAGCTACCAATCGAGAACGCCGGCCTTGCGAGCGTGGCGGCGCAGCACGGCTTCGTCTTCCACCACGTGCCCCTCGACGCGGACGGCCGCCACGTCGTGCTTAAACGCTGGCTGCAGCCGCGGCTCACCGACAAGGTTCCGCCCTTCGCGACGCACCAGGTCGGCATCGCGGGCCTCTGCATCAGCGACACGGGAAAGCTGCTCGTGGTGCGGGAGTGGCGGGACGACGCCGAGAGCGGCACGCGGAGCCCTTCGGCGCAGTGGAAGCTGCCCGGCGGCCTCCTCGACCCGGGCGAGTCCTTTGGCGACGCATCGGTGCGAGAGACGCTCGAGGAGACGGGCGTGCGGACCCGCTTCAGGTCGCTGCTCTGCTTCTGGCACCGGCACGGCCTGACTTGGGGCAAGAGTGACCTCTACTACGTGGCGCGGCTGGAGCCGGAGGGCGGCGGAGAGCCGGAGATTAACCTCGACCCGGAGGAGATCAGCGACTGCCGCTGGATGAGCGTGTCCGAGTTCCTCTCGACTCAGGACCACCCGCTCATCACAGCGGTGCTCAGGCGCTCGTACGGGATCGAGGCGACCGAGGAGGCTGCGGCGGCGGCGAGCTTGGCGGAGCAGCCAACGCCGCTGGTGGAGCTGCTCGAGGCGGGCGTGCAGTGGCCGGGGCGAGAGCCGTACCCGACCTACTTTGCGAGCTCCTGCGATGCGGCGGCGGCCGAGGGTGTTTCTCGGTAACACAAATCTCGACGCGAGTAGCAATTAGGAAAGATGGAAGAAAACTCAGGCCGACGGCCACACACGACACACAGCGGACTAGGAACTAGGCAGAATACTGACAGGTGACAGAGGTGAGAGGAGACGGACTTTCCCGGGGCGCGGGGGCGAGAAGAAATAGGCGAAAGTTAGGATGGCGGGTGGGGCGCAAAATCTCTCGGCTCTTCTTCTTGTTTGGGTGGGGGGCATCGGGGGGGTTCCCTAAAGCGGAGAACCCGGGAGGGATTTTACACAGAAAGAACCGAAAGAAGAAATCAGAGGGCGCGCCATCACCAGCGCGCCATCACACCCACAAAGAACCCTGCACAAAGATCGCAAGGGCGGGGACCTGTTCCTTTTTACCCATCTCACAGGAGCATAAATAAATAAATACAACGGACATCCCAAGCTAGGGCTGGGTCGAGGACAGACACGTCCCCACCTTTGCAGGATTTTGCAAAAGCGAGGGGGGAGGGCGCATCGCCGCGCGGAGAGGGCTGGGCACAGGGCACAGGGGATCTCTCTCGCATAGGATATGCACTCGGCGGCACGAGGGCAAGGCTGGGCGTCCTATGTTTGTGCTCCCCCCCGGACCCCTCGCTCTCGGGCACTAACCATCTGACAGGAGCACGTTTTATTTATTATTGAGTTTGTTTATTTATTTCAGCGCGCCATCACACGGCGACGCCTACTTGCGAAGGAATGCAAGTGTCGCGTAGGAATGCAAGTGTCGCGAGCGACGCGCAGGCGCGCCGGTCTGAGGGACCACACTCCGCCGCCCGCGGCGCCCAAGAAGCGGCGAACGACGAAGACGAAGGGGGCCAAGGCAACCACGCACGTTCGACGCTTACCACCTTGCCCGCGCAAATGCGCTCGCGGCTCCTCCCGCTGTTGCTCCTGCTCGCCGTGACTCGCGGCTCCTCGGCTCTCTCCGCTCTGCCGCCGCTCGAGCGTCGTCGCGCGGATCTCGCCTCCATCAGTCTCGAGTGGCTCGTGCAGCGGCCGGCGGGCAGCGAGCCGCCGAGCTCGCCTCCGGTGCTATTTGTGCATGGCAGCTTTCACGGCGCGTGGTGCTGGGAGCGCTGGATGGGCCGCTTCGCCGCCTCGCTTGGCTGCGAGTGCCACGCCGTCTCGCTGCGCGGCACCAGCGGCTCTCCCACCGGCAACTGCCGCCAGCGCTCCGTCAAGATTGAGGAGCACGTGTCTGACCTCGCCGCCTTTGTCGACGGCCCTCTCGCCGCGTCGTCGGCCGGCCCGCCCGTCCTGGTCGGCCACTCCTTTGGCGGCGCCTCGGTCCTCAAGTACCTCGAGGCTGGCCACGCCGCCTCGGCCGCCGTCCTGCTCTGCTCTGTCCCGCCGTCGGGCAACAGTGCGATGACGCTGCGCTTCGTCCGCCGCTCGCCGGCGGCCGCGTGGCTCCTCGTGCGCGGCTTCGCCTTCAAGGAGGCTGCGCGCTCCTCCTCGGTGGCGAGGCGGCTCTTCTTCGACGACGAGATGGGCGAGGAGGAGGTGGAGGCGCACGTGGCCCGCTTCGCCGCCGACTCGAGGTGCGGCATCAACCTCTCCGACTTCAACAAGGCGCTGCCGTCGCGCCAGGCGGACGCGGTCGGCCGGGCAACGTGGCTCGCCACGGCCCCGCCTGCACTGGTGATCGGCGCCGAGGCGGACGGGGTGGTGGACGCGGAGGGCGTGGAGGAGACGGCGGCCTTCCTGGGCACGAGGGCGCGCGTGCTGCGAGGCGCGCCGCACGATATCATGCTGGCGGCCGGGTGGGAGGCGGCCGCCGACGAGGTGGTGCAGTGGGTGGACGGCCAAGAACTTGCCAGAAGCTCGCCGCATGCGGCAAGAGGATAGAGAGCTCTATGCGCTGACCGAAGTGCGAAGACCGATATGCAGGTTGGCGCACGGCCGCACGCTCCACGGAGCATGCTTTTTATTACTGTATACTGAAGCTGAAATCGCATTCTTTAGTCCATTGTGCATATTGAGTCGCGTATCGCTATCGCCTAAGGCCTATCGGAGGATGACGGAGGAGCGAGGACCCCGAGCCGGGCCGAGGACCGAGGTCCCCGCGCCTCGAGGACCCGCGTTTCGACCGAGTCTGAGAGGTCTCGACACTCGGGGCCGCGGGGTGGTGTGTGCCCCCCTATTTGCCCCCTGATGCATGCACACGCACTGTATCCTAGTGGGGCAATAGGGGTCCCGTACCATGCGGAATCGACCCTATCAAGTGCTCAAGTGCTCAAGTGGGGCACTCTCTCTCTAAGGTAACATGATGGTTGTGGGATCCATTGTGCGGGGCACGTCCGTCCGCCGTCTCCTGAGCATCAGCGCGTTAACAATGCAGCACTTTGACGGGCGAATCCCCGAGAGCGCGAGCCCCCCCGGGCCAATATACCGACGCGCAGACCTAGCTCGGTACCCTTCTGCTATCCTGCACGGCGGCCGCGCCAAGGGGGCGCGCAGTCGCGGCGAGTCGGAAAATAACCGGGCGCCACCGACAGCCCGAAGATCAAGGTTCGCTGAGGTGGTGCTGACGAATGACACGACTCGCAGGGTGAGGGAGGGCGCAACATTGGCTCGCCAGGCGTCCCAGGCTCGACGAGTCGCGATGGCCTGCCAGGCTGCTACTGCAAGCGGCGCAGCACCCGAGGTGTCGCCGTTAGCGACAGCCCCAACTGGAGAGGAGCGAGTGTCGGGGGAAGAGGACGAATCGGCCGCGGAGACGGCTCGAATGGCCGCCGCGATCGATGCCGCCTTTCGAAAGGCGGTCGTTGATGGAGTGCCACGCCGCAGCGAGGCGGTGGAGGCGGCTGCGGCCAGGCTTTCCGCAACTCGGGCGACGGCGTCGCGCCGCTCGGAGGGGCTGTCGATGGCGAGCGACAGAGATTCGGATGTCTCCCTCGGCGCTTTCTCCGTGGCGCTCTCCGCCGTCGCCTACAGAGGCGTCTCCCGGATCTTGACGCAGGCGTGGGCGTCACCGATGCTTGCCTGCACGCTTGCTGCGTGTGGGATGGTGCTCACGCCATTCCTGTTTATCAGCCTCGTCATGACTGGTCTCGGCCTCCTCTGCTGCGCCCCCGTGGCCCTTCTCGCCCTGTGCGGCACTTTGCTTCCCTCCGCGCTGCGGCAGCTTACCTCGGGCGCCGTCGGCCTGACGCAGAGCGGCGTCGTCGCCCACGCGTTATCGAGCGCGAAAGCCTTTGCCGTCGAGCGGCCGGTGCAATCTGTTGCTCTTGTGGGCGGCGTTATGACCGCTTCGCCCCTCGTGCTCCTCCTCCTTGCGGTCGGCGCCTTTTGGTACATCGTCCTCTTCCCGTTGACGGTGCCCCTCACCCTCTACCTCGGCTACACTCGCCTGTTGCCGCCGCTGAGGGAGGTTCTCACTGACCCCGCCACCGGAAGACTCGAGTGGCAGTGGCCCAAGCACTGCGCGTATCGGCCCTACGCCGAGGTCCCCTCGGGCGACTCAGAGGACGAGTCGGACGACGCCTACATGCACCTTGACGGCCTGCGGCCCGTCCGCGCCGCGCCGAGGATCCGGAAGGAAGACCAATGACAGGGTTGCTTTCTGCAGCTCCCCAGCCGCAGACGTTTCAAGAGAGAGATTTTTAGCAATACCTTGTTTTGTGGCGTTTCGATGTTTGGGGTAGCGATGACGAGTCGGTGCGAGCTTTGAGTGTCGAGTGGCTACAGAGATGTATGTATGTATGTAGGAAGGTGAAGAACATCGGACTGGACACCAACGCGGTATGGGTGGACGCGAGAGAGACAGCGAGGCCGGTGTTATTCTTCAATCCACCTGCTGGCTCGCTCGAGAGCCACTCGCCGCTCGGCCCAGCGGTACGCGGTACGGCCAGATCCCAATACCGCGCCCGCTGTGCCTACGCCGCTGATCGAGCTTTAGCCTGACCGTCACACTATGCTCCTCCTGCCGACGCTCGCGCATGTGACCCACGCCACTACTGGTCCCGCGTCGCGGGCGGCCGCATCTCGCGTGTCGCGAGCGCCGCTCATGGCTGAGCAGCTGCGTGCGCCGGACGGCTCCTTTGGCGCAGAGCTGGGCGTGGACGATGAGCTTTCGTACGGTGTGCGACTGCCCGACGAGGCCGACGACGAGGCGGACTGGCTCTTTTTCGACCGCGCGCGCATCTGGGTGCAGGCAGGCGACGGCGGCAACGGGTGCGTTGCTTTCCGGCGCGAGAAGGACAAGCCAAAGATGGGGCCGGCGGGCGGCAACGGCGGGCGCGGCGGCTCCATTCACCTCGTCTGCGACGAGGGACTCAACATGCTCAAGCAGGAGGTCCACTTCCGAGCGACGGGCGGCCAGAACGGCATGGGCAAGGCGCGGCACGGCGAGTCGGGCGGCGACGTCACGGCCAGCCGCTCTCTGTCAGAGTTCTCTCCCTTCGCACGCGAGGTGCGTGGCTCACTCTCGGTGAGTGGCGCTGGTAGGTGCGCGTGCCGCCCGGCACGGTCGTGCGGCAGGACGAGGACGACGCGCTGGTGGGCGAGGTGCTGCGGCACGGCGACAGCATGCGCGTCGCTCGCGGAGGGCGAGGAGGGCGCGGGAACGCAGCCTTCAAGACTGCCCGGGACACGACGCCTCGGCTCGCGGAGCAGGGCGAGCCGGGAGGGCAGCGCTGGCTCAAGCTCGAGCTCAAGCTGCTCGCGGACGTGCCTCGCGCGCGCTGGCCACGCCGCAGCCCGCCCGAGCCCCCTCGGCACGGGAGCTTGTTCGGAGGGTAGGTTGGCTTGGTCGGCGTACCCAACGCGGGCAAGTCCTCTCTCCTCGCCGCCGCCACGAACGCCAAGCCGAAGATTGCGCCGTACGCCTTCACCACCGTCACCCCCAACTTGGGCGTCTGGCGCTCCGCGGCGGACACCGAGGCAGACGCCCGCTCGCTAGCGCCCCGGGGCTTGAGGCGGGGCAGGGCTGAGGCGGCGCGCCCCTCGCTGCAGGCGTCGCTCGTCCTCGCCGACATCCCCGGCCTGCTCGAGGGGGCGCACGAGGGCAAGGGTCTGGGGCGCGCCTTCCTGCGGCACATCGAGCGCTGCAGGCTGCTCCTGCACGTCGTCGACGGCACGCGCCCAGACCCGCTCGGCGACTTTGAGGTAAAGGTTTAGCCTACCTAACCCTAACCCTAACCCCAGCCCAGACCCGCTCGGCGATTTGAGGCCGCGCGCGCGTGCGCCGACGCGGCGGAGCCCGCACACGCCAACCGCCGCAGCGGACCCTTGTGCAGGCGGTCAACACCGAGCTGCGCCTCTTCTCGCCCCGCCTTGCGAACAAGCCCCAGGCGCGCAGAGCCGCCCTCGCACCGACAAAACGACCCGCCGACCCGCTTTGGCTCGCCTCGCCAGGTCATCGTGCTCAACAAGCTCGACGTGCCCGCCGTCGCGGAGGCGGCCCCGCAGCTGCTGGAGAGGCTCGCCGCCGCCGCCGGGCATAAGTGCGCGCTGCCTCCGCGCAGGCACAGCCGCAGCCTGAACGCGCTCAGACCCTTTGCACTCCCACCGCAGGCGCGTCCTCGCCGTGTCTGCGGCTTCGCGCGCAAACGCGCCAGCTCCAGCGGGGTAGCCGCGCCCTCTCTTGCCCTGCTGAGCCGGCCCCGCTTCCCTCCCTAGGTGCCTGCGCTGATGGGCCGGCTCCGAAAGCTCGTCGCTTCGGCGCCCGCCGAGCCTCCCCCGTCGGTGCTCGAGCCGACCGTCGCGCTCGACGAGGTCGAGGAGGCGGCCGAGTGCAACGTCGTGCCGGTCCAGCCGCGCGTGTGGGCCGTCTCGGGCGCGCGCATCGAGAAGGCCGCGGCGATGACCAATTGGGACTACCACGAGGCGCAGGAGCGGTTCCAGCGCATCATGGGGGCGCTCGGTGTCTCCGCCGCCCTTAAGCGGGCGGGCGCCGAGAATGGCGACACCATCATGGTCGGAGCCGTCGACTTCAAGTACTACGAGGAGACGGCGATGGCAGTGCGGGCGCGGCTTGCCGGCTACGGCGACCGCGAGGAGGAGGAGGAGCTTGGGGAAGGGGAGGGCTACGAGGCGGCTCGCGAGCGCGCGCGACGGAGAGCGGCAGTGGATGCGGAGCTACTCGAGCTTCTTGAGAGCGATGGCGAGGTGGAGCAGTTCTGACTGACTACCAGACTAGGCACAGATCTGGGGCGTCTCTCCATTATTCCGAATCTCTGGGGTGTCGCGACATATGCAGTCTGGAGTCTTCGTCCGCTGGCAGGCAGCA